TCAAGCTGAACTACACCTGGCCTGCCTGCATGTGTCAGCCTGGAACGACCCAGGTGAGTCAGCGTATCCTAGATATTCTAAGCCCATTGACGACTCCGACATCGAGATTGAGGCAAAGAGTACGTTGGTCGATCACGAGAGGGGCTCTGCTGAGCCTCGGCCCGGGGCCCACTTGGCCGCAGAGCTTCCGGCTCTCCAGTCGACGCGGCCGAGGGCCTTCGCTTACCAACCCGACTGGCCTTGCCTTGCCTCAGTGGCGAGGGCCAGAACAAGTTGGAATCCGACTTCAATAGCATTGTTACCTAGGTAGGCTTGGTAGGTACCCAAGAACAGCGCTGGTAGACTCGTTGGGCTAGCAACGGTCACGGCGACGCATGTCTGGCCATGACGCGGATCACATTCGCAGACATCACTGTCAACCAAACGGGCATCAAAACAGATGCTTGAAGTTAAAAGCCTTGAAATTTGGTGGTCTGGGCATCCAAAGACAACACCACGTACGTATCTATCAATACAATGCAACACGAGCTGCTCATAAGCCCGCGTTGTTGCGCCACCGAGTATTTCTCCTTTCCGTTCTACTCAGTCACAGGTATCTTGTCGCTTCGTCTTGCCTCCGCCCCTTGATCATATATCGTTGCACCGTGTTTCGTCTCCTTTACAGCTCCAGCGTTGGCTCAACGCCCTTGACACGACCAATAACCTGCTCTGGCGCGTACTTGGGGATGACCTCGTCGTCGTGCAGCATCTCAAACTCCTCAGTAGCGTCCCGGCCCATAAAGTTCATGATGGCCTGGGGACCACCGGGGTGCTCCTCGAGCCAGTTGGACAGATCCATGACGACACCCTTGACGACGACCCAAAGATCATCCTTGGTGTTGTGCTTAGCAATCTCCTCCATGGTGAACTCCTTTTCGGGAATAGAGAACTCCTTGGACTTACCAGCCTTTTGGGCGTCGCCGGTAGGAGAAGGGCCAGCGGCGGCGGTGGTCTGCTGCTGAGGGACGTCGCCCGAGGAGCCAGACACGCCACCGTTCGCCCACTCAACCGTCACGCGGCCAGGCTGAGAGGGGTCAAGGTGCAGGGAGATCTGGCCCACACGAGCAGAGGCGCCAGTGGCACCGGTAAGGGCCTTCTGGAAGAGGTAGTTGCTGGCGGTGTCGCCGGCCACACGGCCGTAGACGACACAGCCCAAAAGGGAGGATCCACCGAGACGGTTGGCACCGTGGACACCACCGGCAAGCTCACCACAAGCGAACAGACCGTCGAAGGGCTTCTGCTCCTGGTTGAGGACCTGAGCCTTGTCGTTGATCTCGATACCGCCCATGGTGAAGTGAAGCACGGGCTCCATGACAGCGACGTGGAAGTCATCGTTGATGTCAACGGGGAGGTTGTGGAAGAACTTCTTGCCCCAGGGGTCCTTCTGCTTGCCATCGGCAATGGCGTTGTAGGTCTGGAAGGTCTTCTGGAGGTGCTCAGGCTTGCAGCCGATCTCCTTGGCCAGCTCCTCGCCGGTCATCTTCTTCATGAGACCACGGCCAGAGTAGTGGCGGGTGTGGAAGTCAAGAGTGTTGGAGGCCTTGGAGTTGAGGATGAGGCGGATGGGGAACTTGTTCTTCTCCTTCTCCTTCCACATCATGCCGGAGACGTAGTCACGGTGACCGAGCTCATCGCAGAAACGGTCGCCGTCGGCGTTGAGCAGCAGGCCACCCTCACCACGCAGAGCCTCGGCAGCGAGGAACTTCCACTTGGAACCAGGGTCCTTGGGGTCGACGAGACCGGTGGGGTGAACCTGAACCTTGTCCATGTCGATGCCGTTGCCGCCAATGGCCATGACCATCTTCTGGCCGTCACCAGTGGCGTGGGAGCCGTTGGTGGTAGCGAGGCCGAAGGTGTCTGGCCTGTGCTGCTTCAGCAGGGATGAGTCGGAGAAATCGGCAGCGTAGCCACCGGTAGCCAGGACGACGGGGCCATCGAGGTCCTGCTCCTCGCCGTTGTGCTCGTACTTCACACCGGTGATGGTGTTGCCGTCCTTGTTCAGGCTGACGACGCGGGCCTTCTTGATGATCTGAACGCGCGTGGGCTCGGTCTCGGCGAGCTCCTCGAGCCTCTGCATCAGGGCGTAGGTGATGGCCATGCCGGGGAACTTGGCATCGTGGCCACGGTGGGTTCGGGGCTGGGAGTGGCCACTGCGCGGGGCGGTCAGTATGTACATGGCATCGAGAGCTCTGGCTTTGATGACCACTTACCCGAGACGGGAGACGAGGGTGAGGTCGAGGTTGAAGACATCCTGGAGCCACTCAACGGCAGCAGCGGACTTGTAGGTGAGGACCTTGATGAGGTCGGGACGGGCCTTGTCACGAGCAGACTTGAGGGTGTCGTCGTAGAACTGCTTGACGCTGTCGGCGACGCCGGCATCGACCTGTGTCCTCGTCAAAGCACCGTTGATGCCGGAAGTGGCCTTTGTGGAGTTGCCTCCGAAGAAGCCTGGCCGAGTGGCGTTAGTGTGGGTTCTGAGCACATGGGGCCATGACACGTGAAGAGAGGTCAACTCACCCTGTTTGTCGAGAACGACAACATTGCCGCCCAGCGAGATAGATGGTGTGCGCCGCACTCAAGGCCGGACACTGGGAAAGCATGTCAGTTGGGTGTTGATTCGTGCAGGAAACACGTGAAAACCGCAGCCGCCGGCCAATGACGACAAGAGCCATGGCGCGGGGGTGGTTTCTGTCCTGCCTGCCAAATGGAGTGGGGAGACACTTACGACACCGGCCAACAACGATTCACTCTGGTGGCCATGTTGACTGGAAG